CACATTCCAAACTGATTCCAAAAGACATTTACATTTTTTTAAAGCTTGTAAATTCTCTGACAAAAAAAAAACTCCATAAAAGCACATTTCGTATCATTCCGACTATTTCAAGTTTTTGAAAGAAACTGCTGTTTTTGCTCACAACTTTTATTTTATGAACATAAGTATGTAAACTAACAACTTTGGATCAAAAATACAGTAAAAACTGAAATGGGCTAAGCTGAATTTTCAGTTTTCAGTGTGACATGATCTTTTACAAATAATTCTAATATGCTGATTTGGTGCTCAAGAAACATTTCTTATTAATGTTGAAAACAGTTCTGCTGCTTCATATTTTTGTGTGAACAATGATTTTTTTTCAGGATGAATAGAATGTTCAATAGAACGCCATCGATTTAATGCATATTTGCTGAATAAAAGTTGTAGCGTCTGGACCAATCAAACACACAATATATATTTTGGTATTTATTTCTTTTTTAAAAATCATGACATTCACTGTACACTTTTCTTTCTTTTTTTTAAAGGTCCCTTGAAGTGCCTTGAAACACGCAGCGTTATTCTATGTGGTGACGTAATTTCAACTGAAACAGGAAGACAGGGCGGGACATATCGAGCAGCCCCGCCCCCCTTTTTAAATTAGCCAATAGCGTTTTGTTTATATCTGCACGGGTCAGAGCCGTTGAGCTCGGTAAAGCCGCATTTGACAGTCACAGTCTAACAGATTACCCCCTAGAATCAATATGAAATTCTTAAGCCCCGTTCACACCAAGAACGATAACTATAAAGATAACTATAAAGATAACGATATTTGCGTCCACACCAACGAACGATATCGTCTATTTATTCTAAGCGCACGCTCGTCTGCCGCTTTAAATTATTGAGCTTGTTACAGCAGGATGGATTTTGATTGGCTGTCAGTGTTTTATCGTTCATCAACTGGAAAAAAATCGTTTTGAAAGTGATCACAACGATATCGTTCCTCTGTATCGTTATCGTTATAATTGTGGTGTGAACTCTGCTATTCTTTAACATTGAGAACGATTTTTAGAATTATATCTTTATCGTTATCTTTAAAGTTATTGTGCTTGGTGTGAACGGGCCTTTAGTAAAACATAATAGTGATCATAATCATGCTGAGGAATCCGTGTATCATTCAGTCATTTATTTTTTTATTTAATATTGAAAGTAGAAAAATGAGAAAACGGCTCCTTTTTCGTTTTTTTCCAAAAAAATGAAAAACGAGAATTCAGCTTAAATTTTAGTTTTTTCGTTCATGGGTGGAAAAATGAATAAACAGCTTGAATATTCGATTTCTACATGTGGGCGGGAATTAAACGCCCCTTTCTGCTGATTGGTCAGCCGAAGATCAAACCGTGCCGTCATCAGTTCTTCTGCAGTATCACGCAGCAGAATAATAGTCCTCCACTGCTGCAGCTGTACGGATTAATAACCCATTTGATCAATTTCATATTTTTCTCATCAAACAGACTAATGAATAGCTCGACACAACTCGTACCGGGGCAGAGTCTAGACAGGTATTTCTTCTGTGTAGACCAGCGGTTCTTAAAGTGATAGGGGGTCCGAGAAATAATTTGCTATAGCCTAAAGTATTTCAAGACTGTAAAGTCGCGTTTTTTATCATGATACATAGGCCTACTGTGATTTATTCCAAAGTGAATTATATGATGCATTTAACGCTTATATGAAGCCTTTTAAAAGACAAGTATTCCCTGTGGTTCATGTTTGTGGCATGCGCCAGAAAGATGCTCAAGGAGACAGAGACGCGCTAAAGCAGCGCATTCTGTTGTTCTCTTTATTTTTCAAAGGCATGACATTTTGTAGTTATTTTGAACGTAACGTTACACAATTAAAAATATACATTTTACCATACGATTATAAATGACAGAGTATTAAGTTATTTCCCCTCGATGGGGAAAAAAATCCAAGTGAACATCAATCAGTACTCAATATTAACTTAAACTGCTTTAAATATGACTGTTGCTTATTTCCTATGCACTTCAATACTGGTCTGCGCTGGACTGTAGTCGCATCTGTCTGCTTATTGAGTTTATTTAGGCTAACCCATGTAGGATCTATGTCTCACAACAGACCCACCTACAGGATGGAGACACGCATCAAACCCTCACATTCCATCGGGACAAATCGAAGGACTCCCAGCCAACAGATGCAGATGCAAACTCATGCAGGGTCAGGGAAGGCATCTATTTATAGTGCAGGGGGCGGGCGCTTCGGCTTCCAGAGAGCTGATTGGTCAGAAGATTTGATGAGAAGATGAAGTACGATGTGACGTCAAAAAAATCGGTTTGGCGGAAGTGACGAACTAAAAGCTTATATCTTCTAAATGCGAATTCTGTCACTGTTTTGGAGCACACTGCCTTATAGATAACTTTAAGACTAACATATTGATACTAACACCCAAAAAACTTTAATTTTGATTTCATGGGGACTTTAAATAAATAAATAACCAACCCTCTTATGAAAGTCTAATGTTCTTTTGAGGGATGAAGGCTATTTCATACACTACTGTCCTGAAGGAATAAAGCAAACTGGATCTAGATAAGTGGGCGGCCCTGAGACACAACAAATAAATGTACTGCAATTTTTTATTAATTAAATCTATCCTTGAGGAATACCTTCATTCAAAAAAAAAAAGTCAAAGTGCTTCCAAACTTTTGAATCGTAGTGCATGTATTAAATTGCAGTACATTTTAAAGTGGAGTGTCTATTAAGGAAAGATAAAAGAGCAAACTTTTGCTTCTGTGTTGGATCATTTTTGTGACATGAGATGAACTGCATTGCTTTGAGCACAGTGTTTCACTAGCAGAGGAAATGAAGGTGCTCTTTACAGCTCCAAATCCTCCCTTGACAAAATTGCAAGACTCCTCTCTATAAAAACAGCTATGTCACTAGACAACAATAAGATCCTATTTGGCCAGCTGGTGGGAAAAAACAGGGTCATCTGTGGCCCGGCTCCTAACCCAGAGCAAAAAACAGCCAACAAAAACCACATTCTAAGCTTTCTGAATATTTGTCTGTGAAACAGACATACTGTTCATTTGGGCTGCAATGGTTAAATAAATGATGATAAATACAAAGGACAAAACGACAGGAAAGAAAGAAGAATAACAGGAAACCTACAATTTCTCCAAGTGAAGCAGCCAGCATGTGAGTGATGGGGGCCAAGTTTGTAGCACTGTAGCCTGTGAATAACGACTTGGTGCTTTCATAGGTGACGAAGAATGCAGCAGCTGGAACCCAGAAGAAACACTTTATTTGACGCAAAGTGGCAAACTATTCAAATAGCATGCACTTTCTAAAATGTGTGTATTTATTTGTAGGCAAATTCTGAGAGCTAGTGATTCCAGCAATTCCGGTTTAAATTATTGCTATTTCTCATAATCAGAAGTCTATGCAGCATGCAGTTATAATAATCTTCCAAAGAGTTTAAAGTAAACTTTCAAACATGCAGCCATTTTTCATGTTTATAATAAGATATTTAAACTTAACTTACCATTGGGAAAGGAGCCTATAGCAGCTGACGGGACCCCTGCATAGACCCCTCTGAAACCTCCCGCCTTGTAGAAGCCCTGCTGGCTCTGCAACCTTGTCTTTATGGTGTCCAGAGGGAAGAGAGTGAGATCTACACACATTCCCGCACAACCGCCTGCCTAAGGGACGAAGAGCAATGATACTATTTTAATACATCATTATATATCAGTACAGTATAATAAGATGCTTTAATTCTGGTGCAATGCAATTAGTCACTGTAGTCTCATATATCATTTTTACCACATAGTAATGCCACAATTTACCACAAATGACTCTTTAAAGAGCTTTAAGGAGAAGAAGAGTAAGCTTTTCTGTCCTGCTTAATATGGCTACTAAAAAACATGAAGCGGAGATACAGAATACCACTTTTTATCTAATTCATTATTCATAATGATTGCCCCATTTTTCACCCACTGTGTTTTTAGAGCATTTCTGACTAACAATATGCAATACTGTACATATGGATCTGCAAACAAAACCCTTTTTCCAATACAATGCTATATGATTGAATTATTATTACTCTACAAAAAAAAAGTTTGAAGTTAAGTTGGTCCTGTTGTGGTCCAGATCAAGTTGAAGCTGTCAATTACATAAAGCATTACTGACTGTATTATCATTATTATTATGAAGTGATATAGTCCAACAAATTCATAATTAGGATGAAACAAAGGGAAAGAAGAGTATTTTTCTCTAAAAATAATAAAAGTAAAAAAAAAAAAAAAACCTTGCCCCCCAAGGAAACGAAACTG